GAGAAACATAAATGGCTTCGAAGGCTCAAAGAACATCAGGGACACGATTATAAATCGACACAATGCCGGAGTCAGCTACGAGAGATGTGATTATTTTTAAATAGAAGAAATATGAAAATCATCAGTTGCTCCTAGTCTGGAGCTCCATGCAAGATCTTTCCTCATGGGGTGAGGATGATGATGAAAAAAGTGGTGGATGAGCGAAAAACTATACAGGAGGAGCAGTAGGAACACAGAGCTCTACGCCATAATGGAGTGAAATCTTACATCGCCCACAAGGTCCCCCTGCTCATGTACATACCCATCATAAGTTTGCCAGTGAACATCTACATGCTTCAGAGGAAGTGCTGTGGTCAGATGGAACCAAAATCAAACTCTAACTCAGAGGAAGAGAAATGCTGAGTACGAACCAAAGAGCAGCATCCCCACAGTAAAGCACAGAGGTGGAAACATTATGCTCTGTGGCTGTTTTCCTGCTGAGGGTTCAGGACGACTTCACCATACTGAAGGACCAGCAGAAGGGGTCGTGTACACTTCTGTCCCTCAGCTAGATCACAGAAGATCTGAAGTTAGGTTTAACAGCATGGTAATGACCCAAAACATATCACCAAGACAACAAAAGAGCGGCTAAAGACGACTCACGTTAAGGTCATGGAGTGGCATCGCCAGACTTCAGTCCTACAAAAGATCTGTGGAGGGAACTAAAGCTTCGAGACGCCAAGAAACCTGAAGGATTTAGTGTTTCTGTACAGAGGAGTAGGCCAGAATCTGGAAATGTCTAGTTTTGTGGTTGCAAATCAAATTATAACTATTAGGAAATTTGTGTTTTTCTGGATTTGTGGTTTATATTATGTCTCTTTCCATTAACATAAAAGGACTGTAAAAATGTGAGACCGTTCATTTAATGCTCGCAGTGCAGCTGGATGTTCAGAACTATTTCAAAGCAGTGGACAATCAAATATTACATTAAAAAAACAAAGACGTGCATTTGTTTTCTTCACTGGAATAATGTGATCAAGATTTCTTACTTGATAAAAGACAGTCTGACGTGACCTCTGTTGCACAATCCACAGTGCAGTTCCACTTCTTCCAGTTCTGAATGAAGAATTAACATCAGTGTTTTAACCATGTTTTCTGGGTTAGGACGCCAAGACATGGATTCAGAGAACTGGAGTTACTGATTTATCGAGAAAAAAGAGATAAATGATCTAAAAGATCTATTTGTTTTTCTTCCAGCTGTCCTTTAATGTTTTCCACTCTGTAGAAAGAATATGAACAGCTTCATTAATGCAATTAGAAATAACTTTTTCACTCCAGACCATCTTCTGTCTGAACTCGTCGCAGGATTCGTCTGCAGGTTTTCACCGCTGAGTGCTCTCGTGAGAACGGGGCGTTTATCGGGACCTTTTACGGGGACCGGACACATGCTGATTACATAAATGTGTTACGCCTGCTTTGTCATCCTCCATGCATCTGGAATGACCCTTGGCACCGCTCTGCACACACACTCGCACACCGACACGCAAGCACACACAGGATTGTGTTGAGTCTCCAGCACTGGGGATGTTTCATGCCTTGATTGAAGATAAATTGTGTTTCAGATTAAACCAGAAGGAGGGGGAGGGGAGGGGATGGACTATATTGTGCTTGATGGTGAACTCCTCCAGCTGCAGGAAGAAGGGATTAAAAAAGACCATCTTACACAACCTTCTTGAAATAAACCCGGGTGGCCCCTCACAAAATCTACACTGAGAACAAATCACACGGCTCCACTGCAGCATGCACGGCACCTGTCAGGGATATTTTTTAGCACCTGACTGCTAGTCTCACAGACAAGCATGCATACAGCTAGAAGCAGGCTAAAGAGTGGAAACAGTATCCTAACCACATAACCCAGTTTGTTATGGTCCCACTGTTGCCACTACTGACACTTCAAGAGATAGCATACTCAGGGGAGGGCACTGTCACCTTGGATAAAGGCATCTTTTGATTAATGGCTCTCCGCGCGTCACTGGGTCTAAAGAAAGCTTTAGCGCACTGTGCATGAAGCATTTTGTGCACTCAGAGCCTCAGCGGTGTGGTTTTTGGCAGACATGGCATGAGAGTGTAATATCACATCTGATCATTTAATAGTTAAAATATGAATCAGGATCAGAATGAATACAGCCAGGAGAACTTCAAAACTAGTACAGGGCAGGAATTAACAGTTATTCTGACACATCATAATAAACCTGTGTTTTATGGCATACAAAAAATAAAGGGGTTAAGTAAATGTTCAGATTTGGCTGTTTTTGTCTACTCGAGAGATTAAAAAATGGACAATAACCAGAACATCTGAATATAATTATACCTGACAAGCTGGGATCAGAGGATATTTGACAGCTTTCCGTCATAAAATGACTTAAAATTGTTTCCCAACTTGTTTTGGCGCACGATCACTTAAAGTGAAGCAATGCGGACAAGAACAAGCGTTTCAGCCCAAGAACGATTTCCCTCAAAGACTGTTAAGTTTGAAAGTTTCTGGGGCCCCAAAGAAGGTAAAAGCTGCTATAATTTTATATTTATGTTGGGCAGCTCGGTCTCACGACCTCTAATCTGTTTCTGGACACAAATTTACATCTGTCTGGTCTCATATGCTCTGATTTGTGTTAACGTATTGATAATAAATATTTTCCACTGTTGTAGAGTGAAAGAAATTCCACATTTGGAGGTTGGAAGATTTGATAGAGGAATAAATCATTTCCCCACTTGCACCAGACGCCACAGCTGAAGTCATACAGCACACAGATTTTTAAAAATTCATTATTACATTACATTCAACTTAAAACTCATTATTTGTTTAACACTTTATCATTTTAACATGTTTTATTCTTTATTATTAAAAATGATTTAGTTACGTCTAGAGAGAGATGATAGTTTTGAGTAAAACACAGTGGTTACCACTCTTTTTGTGTTTTCCTGGGTTCCTGTTACAAAATCATGACTGCAATGAAAAAATAAACTCGATATCTCACAAATTAATACATTATTGTTTGAGACCGGCCTGATTACAGTATATACAGATGCAGAAGTGCTAAAAACTGCAGGGAGGGAATTTCTAGCATTTCACTGATCACACTAATTAGCAGATCTCTGTGTCTGCAGATGCACCATTACAGTTGTCACAGTCTGGCGGTGGCAGACTGTATTAATTGTGAAGAGTGGACCCAAAATGCAGACACGAAGGAACTTGGACCATAGCTTGAGTATTAACAAAAAGCGAGCCGTTAAATAAGGCTGGTAAAAAAGGTACAAAGAAAGGGCAAACTGAAGTAAACTAACATCAACCTAAACTGGGAGAACTAAATAAACAACAAGAAAAACTTAGACATGAAACTTGGAAACATGACATGGAAACCTTGGCGTGAACAACAGATGACCTGACCAGGAGTGAACAGAAACACAGACTAAATACACACGAGGGTGATTAGGGGAAGTGGAAACACATGGGGAAACAGCTGACACTAGTCTGACATAAGGAGACAAAGGAAGCAAAGCTGACTACACTGACATAGGACACAGACCTTCAAAATATAACAGGAAACATGGGACGCAGACAAGACAATATAAACTTGACAACATAAGACATGCAGCATGAAACACATAAGGGGCAAAGGGAGAGGGAAACTTAAATACAGCGGTAGAAAACACAAATGGAAACTAATAAACAATTTAGCTACTCTAAAGAACTCACACATATCATCCAAATAAACTAAAACTCAAGACGCTGGGTCAACAGACCCAGGAACGTGACAACAGTTTATGGTTGAAGCCTGCTAAACGAGCTTCCTTCCATCAGATGTTAACTTGTTAAAAGGGGGATCAACAATTCTCATCCAAATATATTCACTACTAGATCTAGAGGGAAAAAACGCTAATGCTAATGTAGAGGCTTACGAGTGCCGTCACTGTAGCTGGCTACTGTTGCTGTAGCCAGCTTTTATTAAACACGTGACTCCCACACGCCACCTGCGACTCTCAAGTGAGGGATGAACGTCCTTCTTCAAATAGATGTTTTCTTACTTGGTGTTTGTTGATGATGGTTGAGAGTAATAACTGCTACCACATGAGTCCAAACATAAGACCACAGCATGACTTGCATTACTTTCATACTCAATGAATTATTTCTGACCATTATGACCCTTGCATGGGGACAAGGAAGAGCCTTGTTTCTTCAGTCGTGTTTTTAATGACCAGCAGGGGGCGACTTTTAAAGTCCCGTGTTTAGAAATGTACAGGAAAACATCCCTTTGGTTCACGTGCCCTGTGACCTCAGTAAACACAGTCCTGATGAGGTTTTGACTGTTTCAGGTCTTACTGAATACAACATGATATTAAACTTAAAAATTATGCTGACAGTTACAGTAACATAGATATAAAGCAGGACAACCGTGTGACTGACAAGTTGGTTTTTAAAACACCAACTCAATTACATAGAAAACCCTCATGTCAAGGCTTCATAAAAGGCGATGACACTTTATTACCAACTTTTATATATAGTTTATGTCCAAGCCTCATATGTCCTTGGCTAATACATTAAAAACCCACCCAAGAGGAGATCTATTCAGAGTAATACTGACTAATAATAATAATAATAATAATAATAATAATAATAATAATAATCTTTTTTTTTCTTATCCTCTAACCTCTCTGGGACGCCCCACGCACACTAATGAGAATTTTAATATTAAGATTATTTGTAATTGTTTTAATTACTGGAGTCGCAAATTCATTCCCACTGAGATTTTATTTACAGTGATTTTGACGCTCATTTGTACTGAGTTGTATTTAAAAAGATCCCCGGGGATGCTTAACTTTATTGACACACTGGGAACCATCTGTCGATCTTGGCTCACAGCGAAATCTGTTGACTCTGCGCTCTGGCACTAATTCGTCTGGAAACGGGGGCACATGATAAAAGGGTTCCCTTCTCCTGGATGCTTGATAAGAGCACAGCGATGCGCGCGGAGCCTTTCACAAGCAGCTCACCCCGGGCTCGTCTGCTTTTAACTTTCTCGCAGCAGTGACGTCTAGATTGCGCGGGGGATTAAAGATTAGATTCTGGAACACGGGCAGTCATTGCATAATTAACTCCACGCAGAGGAATCGAGTTATTCCTCAGTCACACTGGATACACTCGACAAAGTGGCACAACGTGGGGGCGTTGTGGGGACGCTGTGCACCACCGCGGCGGCTCCGCGCAGGAGTCAGAAGCTGGATGGGAAGCCGGGCGGACGTTAGGCTGTAGCTCGGGGAAACCTGCCGTGAAACCATGCGTGGAAAAGGAGTTTTAGTTCGTGGGCAGCTTTAAAGGTGCGATAGTGTTTGTCTGGATTCCGGTCCTGTTCACGGAGGCAGCGATTTCACGGGAAACCGACCCTACCAGAGAGGTGACAGGCTGCTACACCCCAGCTCCGCAGCTCCTCATTAAATGATCCTGACAGTGTCTAACCTCTGACATTACCCGGACATCTACACCCGGCCTGGCCACGCGGTTGTATTTTTTTTCTGGGTACAGTTCAGTCAACACCATCAGAAAACTGCGCTGCTGGGACTTTTTCCACTCCCAGTAACAAGGATAAAATACTTCAGTGAAGTAACAAGAAGACATTTAGTTCCACACATGGAAATTATGTGAAAAATAAAAGGCCTGGAAATGCGTCGCAAATGCTTTTATCTGCTGGGGGTAAGTTCTGCGTCTTTTTGCGCCTCCGCTTCGTCTTCTCGCCTTTGGACATTTAATTAAAACGTCCTAATAACAGCTCGGGGAAATCTGTGCTGTTATCGCTGATTGCAGTTGAGCACAGTCTTGGTGTGAAGGCTTTAACACTATCCCCCCATCCAGATGTCGGGTTTGGATATTGTCTCTGTCTCAGATTGCTATTTTAAATCAATTTTCATTAAAGGGACGAGAATCCGAGTTTGTCTGAACTAAAATGTTTTAACAAGGACAATAATCTCTCTCTCTCTCTCTCTTTTATGTGTAAATATATAGTTATAGCACTTTGCGTCCTATGACTTTAACTAAGCGCTGAAGCTTTGCTGAAGCGTGCCGGTGCGTTTTTACTTGTAAACACTGAAACTTGAACCAGGACTTTGGGTTAAGGTGGCATGAGAAAAACGATCCCAATGGCACGATTCCATACCCTCTGAAACCGGAGCTCAAGCACTGGTGAAGAAAAGGGGCAAAAAGCGGATCTGGGACACATTTCTGAGATGAAACTGGGTGTTTTAATGCAGAAAGTGCACTCCTTTAATATCGAACAAGAAAAGCGAGCGCGGTGATGTTGAAATTTCTCCAGCCCCATAACGCTGAGATCTGATATCACTCATGCTGTGACCCCTTCGTAGCAAAATGGAGAGCGAGCTGAGGCAAGAATAGGGACATGTGATTTGTTGCACTCACTTGCTGATGTTGTAGATGCCCGAGGTGAATTATTTCACCCACCTCCTGCCCATTGTGCAAAGTGCTGCTGCACTAAGAATAGTCAAGAATCCCGTGAGCCCTTTTTTAAAATCCCCCTGCTTTCTATTCGCGTCCCCATTGTTGTGATTTAAGACCCCACACTCACAGCAGCTCGCGTACTGAATGTCTACTGAGGTCATAAAAGAACAAACACCGGACTGTGTGCAGCTTTAAGGTGCGTGGATTTCTGTGCTGGAAATGTGGCCATTTAACGGTGTGGAAAGTAAAAGTCATGCGTGCAACATTTTATACAGTTAAGGAGTGAAGTATTTGCGTAGTGGTGCCTTTGCACACTCACCTAAATCAGATTAATGTCTGCATTATTGCATTGTTTGCACTGAATTATAGATGGATCACATTTAGATGCAAAGCTGGGTGGCTGTAACTTCTCTTAAAATCTATTTTAATATATGTCACCACTTTTAGATACCCATCTGAGTTTGAGTAGGAAGCTGTTGGCAAGCACACCTTGAACAGGATGCCATCACAGAGCGATGTCACAAATCTACTCATGTGTTTGGACTGTGAGGAGTGTAGGGAGAACCAAAGACTGTATATAAAAGATGGGATGCATATTAAAGCTTCCGCATTAGCGTTTTGGCTAAAACTATGTATTCAGGTTTTTGGAAGCACGAGTTACCATATTTGAATAAAAGTATGGAGTGCTGATTCATCAGCTAATTCTGATGTAAACATGCTTTTAAATCAGTTAATGTTAGACATTTTCATATGGGAGTCTGTGAGGATTAGAGGAACTGCACATTTGGCACCAGTTCCACTCAGTTTTTCTCCAGAGCAGGTTGTTGGTTGGGTAGAACCTACAAGCTTTCCACAGAAAATCAGCAGCCAATCAGGAGCTTCAAACCAGGTATCCTCTTACAGTTAAGGCTCTACTGAGCCGCCCTTCAGCAGGTGTAAGTTTCACAATGACAGATCTTTACTAAATAATTCAAAGTGATGACATAATTATGATGTCTTTATAAGTAGAATGATAATAGCTATTTCACTGCTTTGTTTACTGTGTTTTGTCTCATTTGTGGATACTTACAAGTATCGAGAAATGGAGAGAGACCGAAGTTTGCGAAACACTGCATCACGTGAAATACAAACACGATCCAGAGATTTAAACGTTACGGTTATTGTAGGTACCTGTATGTGGCGACACCGTTATCACTGCGTGTTCTTCATAATAAAAACAATAGATTCCACATTATGCTGTGCCATTGTTCATATACACAAACAGTGTCTCCACCTGCTTTTATTTTGAATAGATTTTTATCATTCTCGTGCCAGAGCTGCCTCTTTCAGTCACGTTTGAGCGAACAGCAGGAACGTTTGAGCAAAGTGACATTTCGCAGGTGAACCACACCTCAAACCTGCATCTGTTTTTTCCCGCTTCAGCATTTTTCCTCATGCTGGTTAATAAATCTCAGTCGAAAGCTGGTTTACGACTCTGCAGCAGATCCATGCCGGAGGACCCTTTAAAAGTGGAGACGGTTTTCAGCTGTAAACGCAGCCAAACTGATTCTCTAAATTAAAAGGAAAAGGATTAAAAACTGAATTAGAGTAAATACTGGAGGCATTGATCCGTCACTTTGTTGGCAAGAGCAACTGTGAATCATTCTGAATAGACTGTATGCCATAGCAGTAGATTGTTTTTATGTAGATACAATCTCAAATTTAAAAAAAAAAAGGGCAAGAGGACTGTAAGCTGTAAAAAAGAAAGACTTTATTATGCTCCGTATATGCATGAAAAGAAGCATTAAATGGCACATGGGACCCAGGAAAGTCTGGGATCAGCAGCTTTGTGCCCGTCCTCAGGCATCCATCCCAAGCGTGCCCACTTGGGAAGCCTCTTCCTCCACTGTTTTTATGCAGTGTCCTCATGTGATGTGGATCATGTGATTCAAACAAGAAGTGGAGATTTGTTTGTTTTATTTTTTTTATTTTGTTTTGTTTTTTCTGTTCAGTATCTGATAGAGTAAAATAAATGCTTCTGAAACATCAGTACATCACTGGCGGTATACTCTTTCATGCATATGGTACTGAAATACTGCTTTTGGGATTTTGTCAATATGAAGCATGATTTCTAAGGTGAGACATGCACCTGTCCACAGTGAACCCTGCCTCTTGTTCTGTGGCAGCTGGACTACAGGCAGGGTAGCCACCCATTTAATAGTAAAAATACTTAAAACAAGGAGGCTTTGTCATCTTTGTCATGATATAGTATCCTCCTGATTCTGTATTAAGTTTATTACTTGTAAAGATGCATTTTATTGGCAAAAATAAAAAATAAAAAATTTAAACTGCAATTCCTCTAGTGACCACTTGAGGCGCGGTCCAAAAGTGAGTGAGTCTCCATGGAAGTTTTCCATGTGACATCATACAGACATTGCTCAGGAGTTGTCTGCCATGTTAGATGTGATATAGCCACCACTGATGGGGGAAAAGGTATATTTTTGGTTGCAAACCGGGGGCTTCTTGTTTATGATTGCTGGAGGATTGTAGTGGTTCCCTGTAGTTTGCATAGAAGATGCCAACTTGCCTGCAAAGGCGCGCTGCACACCAGTACCCAAGCTGCAAAAAGAAAACAAAAAAAGAGACAAAAGCAGCACAAACTGCAAACAGACAATGTTCAAGTTCAAAGGTCCAACTTTATTGTAAGGGAAACAGACCAGAGGTTACCAGAGGGTCTGAACCGTCTTCTGTAGCGCCCTCTGTGTGTCAAAGCTGGCATTACTTTGCATGTCTTTCTCAATAATGCCTAAGGACTACTGTTTAGTGTTCACCTTTTCCTCTTTTAGTTCCGTGTTTGTCTTTGATGTTTCTTGTGCCATACTTATTGTCACTTCCTGTTTTATTTTGGAAAGTTTTTTATGTGTTGGTCTTCCTGTCTTAGTCTTTTTTCCCCACGTTTTATGATTGCTTTCTCCACACTTGCTAGTTTCACCTTTGTCAAGTTATTCCTGTGTATTAGTCGGTAGTCCTGCTTCTTTTCTGCCCACTCTTATTGTTTCTTTTTTTTTTTTTGCTTCTTGTTTACAGTGTGCAAAAATCCACCAAGCCAATCTTTTTTTTGTTTGGGATACTCACTCCTTCATCCTGAACCTGCGTCCTTTCCCTGAACTTTGGATGAACATTTCACACCAGGTGTTTGGGACTAATGACCCAAGCCTGTCCTTTACATGAACCTCAACGATTTGACGCCGTTAAATCACACATAAAACGTGGAAAGCATGCACACATGACATACGAGGTGTGGGCCAGAAGCAGTGTGACATTTATACACAGGTGAGTGCGTACGGTAAAGGCCACTTAAGAGTGTTTCTAAACTCTTTCAAGACCAAATATAATTTTCTAGAGAAATTAACAGAAGCTAAAACGGTTCATATGCATTCATGGCAAAAGATGACTTTTTGCTGCCCTGTATTTCTAGCGAGTCATTAGAATTTCTTCTCCAGTTAAAGAAATTAATCATGAAACTGTGATGTTACAGAAAACAAAGTTAAAACTCTGAGTATTTCTTTCATTTTGATTTGAAAAAATCCTGCTGTTTACATCGTGTGTCAGTTTGTAATTAAATGGAAGGAGGTGGATGGTCGGTCTCTGCACCCTGATACCTGCCCAGGACTCACTGAGCGTGAAACAGACGCAGCAAGCGACCCAGAAAAACCTTCCGTGAAATCTGGGCCGCTCTAGCATTTTATATGATGTGACTTCATACAGTGTGAATGCTTGACGCTGCTGTGACCAGCAGGTATGAATGTGCTTTTGATACAGGAAAAAAAGTGAGGATTTTTGATGAATTTAAAGCACCCTTTCCTCCATTTTTCTCTCTGAAGACGGGTGAAATGTTTAACGTTTCAGGTGCTGTATTATTAATGGGGATGTTTTATTTACGGAGGAAATGAAGCATTGGCTTCGCAGGTAATTGTAGCCACCCTCTTGGATCCGCAGGGATCAGCCTGTATGCTCAAGGACAGCTGGGCGGAGATGTAACAGAGTTTGGGGTCACTCTGAGAGGCTGAACAAAATCAAAACTAATGATATTTTACAGCTTGTGTCTCTTCCGCCGCGTGTAGAAGGGTGCTGACAGATGCTGTGAATTCAGCAGTGAATCAGCTGTTAGATGTCACTGGTGCAGAACTATTTTTTTTCTTGTTGTGTCGCCAGCCTTCATTATTTGGATGCTTTCCAGCCGAGTCACTGGTCCAGGACGAAGGGATTTCAGTTGTGTTTGGATGAAATATTAATCCAACCACTGAATTCCACTGTGCTGGCATTTAACAAAGCCATAAATACAGGTTCTCCTGTTCTCCGTCCCGGAATAGAGCAGATGTTATCTAATGCTGTTATCAACTGTCGTCTCTTGAGACACAGAGTCTGTAGTTTTAAAGAAAAATCTGCATTATTCAGTGTTTTCACCTCCTGCATAGCTGAAAAAAGGCTGATAGTAGCGCGATCCAGTAACAGAAAGACTTTAAATTTAGCATCAAAAGTCTTTAAGAAGTCATTTCTTCGTATCAGTGAACACAAGATTAGTGGGCTGTGAGTGCAGATGATGAAATGCTCCAAATTTTGGGGGCATTTGCAGCTGTTAATTTATGCATCATCCACTCGAGGGACAGAAGGCAGTTACTGATTTTTAAAACAATACACAAATACCATAAAGGTCTTCCACACTGATATGATTTTGTTTTAAAAAGACCACCTGCTCTCATTCCTAATGCATCGAATACAGCTGCTTTCCTCCAGGCTTCTGGCTCTTGTGTCCTTGTAAGACACAATAAAATGTTCATAAAGGAACCCACGTTTAGGGTGAACTCACACGAGCTAATGATACACAAGCATGTTTGATCCCTAAAGTCCAGTTGTTTTTTCTGATTGGATCTAATGACAAGTCTTAAGGAACTTGTTACATACAATCCTGTAAAAAAGTGTTTTTCTCCTTCCTGATTTCTTAGATTGTTGCATATTTGTCACCTTATATATTTCAAATCATCACACAAATCTCAATATTAGACACAAATAACCCAATTTAATACAAACCTACCACACCTGTGTGAAAGAACAGCTGCTTCCTAAACATAATAACTGCTCGTCTCAGTTTTGGCAAGAACTCCAATCAAGCATGTGCGATAACTGGCAGTGAGACTTTCACAGCACTGTGGAGGAATTTTGGCTCCCTCCTCTTTGGAGAATTCTTTTAATTAAGCCACATTGGAGGGTTTTCCAGCATGAGCCATACCAGAGCATCTTGATCTGATTTGTAAGACTTTTGACCAGGCTACTTCACTATTTCGAGTCATTCAGAGTGCTCAAAGAGTGGATCACTGTTCTGTTACATATCGAAGTCCTGAAGCAGCAAACAGCTCCAGGCCATCACACTTCCACAACCATGTTTGACCGTTGGTATGATCTTCTTGTTAGTTTTACGCCAATGCAACAGGATTGAAAGTTCAGCTTTTGTCTCGTCAGTCCACAGAGTATTTTCCTAAAACTGTGTGAGGGCTCTCACTGTGGTTCACTGGAGTACCTTAGAAATGGCTTTGCAACCCTTTACGGTCTGACAGATATCAGTGATGTTGTTTCTCAGCTGTTTCTTTAGATCATCGTATGATGTGCCGCACTTTTGTCGGGCAGCTTCTGTTTAAGTGGTTTCTTGATTCAACAGGTCTGGCAGTAATCAGGCCTGTGTGTGGCTCGTGAAATGAAACTCAACCTCCAAAAAAAATGCAGTTAATCATACAGTGAGTGACGAATCAAGAATTATCTTTCTTTTCCTTTACACTGGACCAGCTCTGTTTGTGTAGCTTCTTTCCCTTTAAAACAGACTCGTTATGTTAAAACTGTATTTGTATTTAGTCTAAAATTTAAAATTTGAGGTAAAAACTTTTTCCCAGCTCTGTCAAGATTACTTCTTTTAACTGTTAGTAATACTTCATATTACAGAATCACCTGCTGAGAACGGCAACTTTTTTGTGCTTTTGTTGAACTTTGGCACAAAAGTTTGCACACTTTGGTTATCCTGACCGAACTGACATCACCTCGCTGCATATCGAGTTCATATTGGTAGCATCTCCACTATATAACCAGCAGCAAGCTTATTAATTTCCTTGGAGTGAAGCTAGCCGGATGCTGGTACCGCGGGTCTTTCATTCTTTGCATCCTCCTCCTCAGCACTGGAGCCATGGAGCCGCTGTGCTGAGTGTCTGTCCTTGATCAGATGTGAAGAAGAGCTCTTTGCAGCTGACAGACACTTATTATCACCCAGGCACAATTTGCATTTCACTGCAATGTCGTTTTACTTTTCATCCACAAAAGCTTTCAGAGTGATGCGAGTGCTTCTGTGACGTAAAGGCTGTCCTTTCACTGACATTAGCACGCAGCTACCTGCTGAGGAAAAGGACACAAATATACGTTTTCGCTTTTGTTTTGTTTTGTTGGACCAAAAAGACAGTGGAAGTGTGGGAAATATATTTCCACGTTTCTTATGTGAACTATGTGGTTCCAGCCAGCCTTTAAACACTGAATCATTGTTGGCTGACCGTTTGTTGTTACTTGGCCGCCTGCTTGACGTCCTCCCAAGACTTTAAAGCAACGGAAAACTTGATCATGAGAAATGTTAAAGTCATCTTTTTTTTATCAGAAAAGAAAATCTAGGATGAGTAAGAAACCCCAAAAACAAATATATCAAAAGCTCATACTCACAGTGTCTTGCTGTCATTGGAGGACTGATAAAAATAGTCTTTGTACACGGAGTGAACTTTGTGTGGATGTTTTCACTGATTATGCTGCTCTCTTGGATTTGCTTTACAGTGACTCTATTTGTGTCTTACTTCAGTCCAGGTTCATAGTTGGTCCAAACTTTTTACCAGTAATTTAATTGAATTCAGTTTTATTTACACAGTGTCAAATCACAGCAACAGTTGCCTCAAGGCACTTTATATTGTAAGGTTGACCCTACAATAATACATACAGAGAAAAACCCAACAATCATATGACCGCCTATGAGCAAGACCTTTGGCGACAGTGGGAAGGGGCATCTGCTGTGATTGGTTGGGGTAGCAACCAGCAGTATGTTTCTGCCTACATCGGGAAAAGGATGGCTAAAGGCTTGGCTCGACAGAGATGGTTAAAATCTTAAATCACATTTTAAACTTAAAATTGGGTTTAGAACTTCTCACTCCTGTTGCAAGCTAGTAAAACTAGGCTAGTCTACACTTTCTCAGGGAGGCAGACCTCCAGACCTGAGTTTGTGGGAAGGTGCAGAGCTTCATATCATGAAACTACGAAATCTGTTTCACTCGGGCCTGATCTCCACATCCACACCCGTCTTTATAAAAAGGTACTACACCAGCTGATATTACAGAGTATTATGTGGCCTTAATGGTAACAAAGTCGACTTGGATGTGGCAGAACAGGATTGCCAGATGTGTTGTGCTGTTGATGTTTGTCAGATGAGATAAGATGCCGTTAGCTCGTGCTGCTCGTTGTTGATGCTGGGAGTGGAGAGGGCATTGAGTCAAAGCCCTCCGTCTAAGTGTTGCATCCTTTGAATTTTTATGGAAGGTTCTTAACATAGCAGTCACTCCGAAGGCTATCAGAGGCAAGGCGGTCATGCCATGTCTCCCAAGTTACATCACAATTCGCCAAAGCATGCCCAATAAAATCTTCTCAATCACGAATAAAGTTGTATGTTTAATGTGTGCGTGTCAGACTGAAAGAGCAGGACGTATTTGATTGACCTCTGTGACTTTCCTCTGTTTGCAGGTGTGCGCCATCATGAGCCTCCTGCCATCAGCCTCGTTAGCAGATCTGACATGTGAAGCTCTGCTCATGCTGTCGGGGAACGTCTCGTGTAAGTTCTGGACAAACATCAGCTGGATTTTTATTACAGCAGCACGGCTACAGCAGCTGTTACAAGCTTTTAAAAGGCGCTCATTTCCCAGTACTGTCCAGCCAGTTTGTTCTAGCTGCCCCACTGTTAGTACACTTGAGATTGAATTGATTTTCAGTCTTTTCCATTTCATGGCCATAACCACTAAATGTCAAACCCTCATCCTCAGTCACAACTTCCCCCCTTGTGGATATTAGAAAACCGTTATTTTGCTACTATTCCGTTTCCTCGCAGACCTCTGCAGCACATCCAGAGGACTCACACAAGCACGCACAAATGCACAGGAATGATGTTCTTGTTATTTGCCCCAGGATACAGTCATAAAATCATTCCAGGTAGCTCTTAACAGAGTAATGATAACGCTCTGTTATCATGCTGTCACCCTGCTCAGCTGAACCGATTTCATTTGCTTCATAATTCATCAGAAATTATCTGCAAAGGAAATTCAATTATTATTTTTAATTATCTTTATTTGTTTTGGTAAATCTGTTAAGACGTTATTTAAATAAAAATGTTCATGACTCATTATCTGATGTCAACAGTCCAAAACCCAAAAATATCCAGTTTATTAAGCTATAAAATTATTAAACCAATAAAAGATCGCATTCTTAACTGGAATTATATGGGTTTCTTTTAATGGGGGCAAACCACAGAAACAGAAATAGTAATGAAAAGAATTTCTCATTAAGTCGACTCTGTTCCCTGTAGAAACAGTGTTTTTTTGTTTGTTTAAAAAAATGTGTTAACATAACATGACTACACAGTTATTTTCTGTCTTATGCTTCTGCTATTTATGAACTATGGATTTTGGCAAGCTGTCGCTCCAATCTTGGCCAATGGAGACATGTGTTACATTTTTAGTCCCAGGCCTCGAGATTCAACTCAGTGGCATGCAAAACTTGCGTCACATCCATATGTCACATGTCGCATTCATATTTAGTTAAATGCAATAACATTTAGTTTGGATATGATAATTACGTTCATGCAAATCTTTTTTTAATTGCAAGCATCGACTCTTTGGTTGCAGAAACAGGAGTTTTGCCTGTTGATTATCTAATTTTCAGTTCACGGGTGACAGACACAGGTGAAATCAAATGGGCCCAAGCAGTAAATCATATGTTAACCTGTTCAAATTTCCTATTTTCCATATGCAAAGAAAGAGAAGTAAATTCTGACACCAGCCTGAGAGGTTAATGTGTGATTTTATGTAAGTAAGCAAGAATACACTCAACTACTAAGCAGCTACACTCTATTACACTCTAATAATACTTACATCACAGCTCCACATCTGGAAAACTGGTACATTTTGTTTTTAAACTTCACCTTCCAAAGTCTTCCAAAGTCCCACTCGACCCTCTGGGCCCTGCGTTTGACATCTCTGATCGAAACAAAAGTACTGGGACATATTTCTGAACCTTTAAATTCACCTGTTTTCTGTCCCAAGGGTGCATAAAATCCCCAACAAAGCCATCTGCCTTTATTTGTGAAAGAATCTGTGAAATTACACCACGGCGTAATGGACAGAAATCTTGAAGCTGTGATCAGATGACACCCAAATCCAGTTTTAGCTTTTCTGGTCGACCCGCCGTGTTTGAGAAATGCAGAGTATGACCCAAAGAGCACCATCCACACAGTCAAGCATGGAGGTGGAAACGTTATGCTTCGGGGCTGTCATTCTGTTAAGGGTATGGAACGACTTCAACACGTCGAGGGGGCCGTGTACCGTAAAATCCTGGATGAGAACCTTCCCTCATCCAGAATCATAAAGGCCGGAAGATGGGTTTTCCAGCAAGACAATATCACCAAGGCAACAAAGGGGCAGCTAAAGAAGTCATACAGTGGCCTAGCCAAGTCATATCATGCAAATCTATTTATAACTTTTATATAATATGTGTGTTTTTTCAGGATTTCATTCAGGATTCATCATTAAAATAAAACTAACAAAAAATTAGAACTTGTTCATTCAGCCGGGGATCAGCAGGAGATTATTATTTCCCTCACTGTACGTCAGCCTGTAACCTTTAAACGGTTAAAGCTACCCTGCTTTTAAAAATGTAAAACAAAATCCTTTTATGCATTTGAACAAATGACCAGTGGCAGCTTTTATGCACTTTTCATATTTTACTTTGTTTCATTCATTTTCTTGCCACACGTGGGTGTGAAAAGTGGTTTGGAAACCTCAAATGAAAGCATTAAAATTAAGTGTCACCTTTCCCCCTGCAGAACGTCCTTATCTCCGGATCCTTCTTATCTAATTCCTCTTGAGTTATTACAGAAGTAATAGTCTGACCCTCGGGGCATGTCTGGATTCATATTTGCTGCTACCGTCCCCTTATTGCTGGAGGAAAGGTCTGTCATCAGTGTTTACCGTTGCCCTTTCGTGCTCACCCTTTGTAGCTGTTAAGCTGAATCTAATGAGATTTTCATTGCCTCTTCTAAACTGAGCAAACAATGATTGAGGTTATTGATGAAGCTGTTTCTCTCTGGGTTGCAGTGCAGTCCCTGGCCGCCACCTGGAACCAAACCCTGAGTAACGCCACAAGCCAGTGGAGCGGTGAGTTGAGACGCGTGTGAAACCGATTCCCCGCACACTTACTGCAGAGCTGAGTTGTTGTTAGATACCCCGCAAGGGAAAACAAGTTTGATCGGAACTCAGATTATAAAGGACTAACATCAAAGAGGAAAACAATGCTGGAAATAGACGTGGCGTAGTGCCACAGGAGACGACGTTCAGCTCGGCAAAGCACAGGAGTAATCATTAAATCCTGTGTACACAAACAGCTCATTCTGATACCATATTTGTTGCCAGGATCTTTGGAGCATTATCTGGATTTCATGACATCTATATGCGGTTATGAAACATGACGGGAATGCGTGCACGTCCGTGTCTGACGCTTTTCTGTCCCCGCGCTTCAGGCTCGGGAATCTACTGTGAAACCTCCATCGATGGGATCGGCACCTGCTGGCCCAGGAGCAGCGCGGGGCAGCTGGTGGCGCGACCCTGTCCTGAGATGTTTTACGGCGTCCGGTACAACACCACCAGTAAGTCAATAAGCTGTCACCTCCTGCCCGCCTGCCTGCAGAAAAAAGCAAACCCAGACACAACTGATTCAAAACATGATTTAATACGATCCCTGCACCCTGCTTCGCCCTACCCCCACACTCAACGTCCCCTTGGGCAAACCCTGTTTGCGTAATTGTTTATACAGAAATTAGCATGAGCATACAAATTAGCAAAAGACGCAGAAAAGAGAAAAAAAAAAGTGTACACAAGTGCAGATAACACACCATGAAGTGTCAAAGCTCAAAACAAAACATGACGAGGCGAGGCGAGGCGAGCACCCGCTGTGAAAAATGATGCTTTTGTATGAGGACTCAAATGATTCCAAAAAAAAGAAACGCAGAGAGAAAATCTAAAGATAAATCACCGCTGTCTGAGACGCTTAAGCCTATTAACTCTCCGGGACTCTCGACAATTGATTGTGTTGTTTCTTTTTTTTTCCATCTTGGAAAATTAATAAAACGCTAAAAAATGAAACTACAATTTACTTTGTGGCCCATTTGCATATAAACTATTGTTATAATTTAAAAGGCTTTTTGACAGTAGCAAGAGAGACAGGCGGGATTAAATAAAAAAGGAGGGGTTCAAACAATGGAAACATCGAGGAACAGGAGAAAAATTAGTCTTCATATATTTCCACAAAAAAACCGAAGCCTGGCTCCTAGAAGTGACTTTATTTATAAATCAGATAGAAGAGGTGGCTCATGTTTCTGCCAAACTATTCTTCAGCTCATCCTTAAAAAAGTTTCTTCTAAGGTCAAACTCTAAGTGCAGATAAAACACTGTTTGCCCTTAACTTATGAGTTAGGAGGTTGTTTATCTTGTGGCCCTTTGGGAGCTGTCAGTCAAACTCGTGCCACTCAGAGGAATGGAGCCCTCGCAGCATTCCTAATGTATCTTCAAAGATTTTTTTCAGCAATTTAAGGGTACAGAGCCCTTATTTAAACAGTGAAGCCTCAAAAATGTGAAGCTAGGCTTCAGCAACAATCAGAGACTAAGATCGTGAAACCGTTTAGTTATTTTCCCTGCAGGATCATTTTTTTCCCAGATAGTGTGAGAATACTTGCTATTATCTTCTTAAAACTCAATGCTGCATGTTTAAAATTGCTAATTTTCTGCTACAAAAAACCACAGACCACAAGTATATTCAGCTTTCTGTCATAAATGACAAAGAAAAATGTGTACGTGTGCTGCATTTGTACTTGTTTTGAAGTTGTGACTTGCTTTCTCAGAAACCCTTTCGCCACTAACTTCAGCCATAATCACTTGTTTTTAACACTTTATTGGATATTTTATCACCACAGTGAAGGCATTTCTAGTGCAAACAAGGTCACAGTGTTTTCAGCTTGACCAAAGACCCTTTAGCATTCACACATATTGAAAGCTTGCAAAGCATTTTGCAGTGAAAATAGTCTGCAGCACGTAGTGATTTGACATGTGTGTTCCCTTGTGTTGTGTGCCCAGGACCATTAGTCTTACATCCTGAAGGGTTTTATAGTTTGAATCATGAGGCTTTGTGCTTTTTGTGCTTTTTTTTGCTATTCAAAGTATGACAGCAGGACCTGCACCGTTGGATACCCACCCAAATAATAACGCAGGTGCCACTGAAGTTTCCCAATTTCTTGAATCAATGAGGAAATTTTGCTTCTGCGCGATGTGAAAAATCCTAAAATTGACGTAAATGCTCATGCTTCGGTCTCTTAAACAACAGCAGTGCTACCAATAACACTTCTGCGCTATAGACCAGGCGTGGCAGGGCATTGGTAAAAATCCATGTCTGCTTACTGGAGCCATCTAATATCACCTGGAGGCAGACTCAAAAATATGTGGAACAGCTAGTAATGCGGGCCACTCCTGTTCTTGTTTGTGTGGCTGTTGGCACAGACTGTATGTAAAAGACAATAGGAAACCTCTGGAGCTTAAAAATGAAGCCAAAAAGAACCACAGTTCCATTAATGACCACTTGAGGAAGGCTCCAACAGCGAGTAAGCGTGTCAAAATGTCCAACTTTACTTTATGATGGTGATGGTCCTCATAACAACTCTGAAAAAGTTGCTTTTTTATAAACGTATCCACCTGCATACTAGAGTTGATTGGTAGGTTTCCTGATGCCTCGGACTCTGCACGGTCTCATCTACTACTTCAAGTCATTAAACTGGCACTCTCCACAGTCTGAGTGCTGTTTGTGTGTTTTGGAGCTAATACAGTGGCTCACTGGGTGGTACAGATCACGCAAAAAGTTCTAGAAGGTGGCGACTTCTCTGGTTGGAAAAACGAAACATGGTTATGTAGACGTCTACGGACAACGTCCCCTGGCACCATCGCACTGTGAACTCTGTCTGTAACTAGTGTCAAGTTTTATTAAATTTAACACGAATTTAACTTTTGAAAGATTCAATTCAGAGCAGATTTTTCTGTGCTTGAATAGCTGCCTTTTCTCGATGTCTAGTCTTTGTTGAATAGCTCCAAGATGTAAGTTTGAATGTAACCTGGATAAACAAGATGAATCAAAGCATTCTTTATCTAGAGAAGAGAAAGAAAGGCAAGAAATAATATACCACTAGCTCTTAAGTGCATTTCTCATCCTGATGTACTAACTGAGCGTGACATTGACCTGAGCATAGTTTCAAACAATAATAAGCATTTTTATAGCACCATTCAAAGGAAAAGTTGCAAAGTGCTTCATGGGACAAACAGTGATATAAAGTTTTAAAACAGGTAAAGGTGAAACAACATTAGGTCAGTAATGAGGTCGTGAGCTTAGTTTCAGACGGTGTTTTCTACTCTCGGCTCTGTATGACGTCGAAGAGAGTGGATATCCCTAATATGGTCATCTCAGGCATACGGCTCCACCTACTGTTCAAACCTTTCTGTTTATGGGCTTCAGCCAATCAGAAGAAACTTGTCTTAAAGGGGGTGGAGCTAGAACAGCTTGTTTCATACAGAGGAGTAGCACCAAGGCCCCATTTAAGAAAGAAAAAAGATTTTGTGAAACGTAACTCATGCAAGGCTACTTGAGTCCATGAATAAAATATGGAGTTTGAATTGAATTCAACATAATGAAAATTTATACCTTCAGAAGCACTATATTTTTTATGATAAAATAAAGTACACAATTTAAGGGAAGTTATAAAGAATTAAACAAGTTTTATAATTAAACGGATCTATATTTATTTAATGTTGCACTTAAAGACTGTATAAGAGCATGTCTCATAAATATTAACTATGATTTACTGGGTGCAACAATAGGCATCCCTGCAATTATCCTCAAGTGGATCAGCAGCCTGTGATGTGTGCCGGGACACTGCGGCACTGTGAAGGTAATGCAGACCTTCAGAGACATACAGTAAACACAAATAGCTAAATTTATGAGATGAAAGCCTGCGTGTTTCTGTGTGTTTCTGTGTGTTTCTGTGTGTTTCTTTGGTAATTTAAAGTCTAAACCTCCCACAGGATCCAGACGATCCATTTGAGAGAGCAAGAGAGCCACGCTGCATTTCAGGCGAGGCCCACTGGTAATTTGACACTGCGAGGTTCATTTCACCTTCAGGATTATCATAATCTCCATTGAAGTGTAGCCTAAAAGCCTAAAAAAGACCGGCCATCAGCTGACTATGCCAGCAAAGGTCAACAGTGGAGGAAGCGTTTGTGGATGAAGCTGAAAGCTGTTCGGGATGCAGGATGATGACACAATGCTGATTTTAAGTTTCATTAAATTCTCTGCGATGATATGAGCAGAACAGACGACAGATAAAGCCGGCGTGCTATAATTTGAGGTGTATTTTTAGCATGAATGCATTATTAATCAGTATTGATTGCTGATTTTCACAGCGGAGGTCAGCAGAGATACTCGAGCTGTTTGCTGTCCTTTCGTTATGCACAATGGGTTGTTGATTTGAGAGATAAATGCTCCCTGCGACCTTAAAGACTCCTGTCAGGCGTCAGTTAAGGACGTTCTAATTCTCAATTTTCATTCAGGCTCGTACAGTCACCACTTTGAGCTGACGCTGGCAGGTCGCTGGGATGCTGTAACGCTGAGGCCAGGGCTAAAAACTTTCCTTCACTGTAACTTTATTCAGAAAACACAAATTTAAAATGTGATGGAGCTCAGTTATCAAAGAGCATACACGTTACTTATTTTATTCTTGAGTAGCTTTGCATGAATAGTTATTTTTTACTCCTCATTTTATCTACTATAAGCTTTTTTAATACCTCAGATTTAATCTGATTGGCTGACCCTTAAGCGTTTGAACAGCAGGTGCCTGGTGCTCTATAGTTTTATGTCATACAGAGCCAAAAGTAGAAAAAACTGGCTGAAACTGAGCATATGGGGCAGCCCGAGCTTTCAGCTCACAGGGTTAATTCTGCATCCAGTCTTGTAAAAGTATAAATATGATGGAAAATAAGGAAAAGCATAATAGGTGGTTGTGTTATAAGGAGCAATGTACTATCCAAAACACAATGTTTTCCTGAACTGATAAAAGTAGTTTTTAGTACCCAAAAGCAAATAGTAAATTAAACACAGCATCGACTCTCTCTAGCAGTGGTCTTATCTGCAGAGGGACAGTAACTGTTGCCCCAGGACGAGAACACTGGACAAGCCTTTGTTTTTGCACTTGATGGACTCATCGTGAAAACCGTGGAAATCCATTTATAATACCAGCGTCACTAACAAGCACAAACACATTTACACATTTGCTGTTGAAGAGAACTGCTTTGAATATGATAAAAATCTCTGTAATTACAGAGAAGATGAAGATGGTTTGAAACCACCAGTCAGAAATATACATGTTAGGTTAGTTTGGGATTCTAAATTGGCTGTAGGTGTAAAGGTGCCGAATAGTTTCTTTATGTATTTGACGTGCACCTGTCCAGGGTGTACTCCACCTCTCACAGTCATCTGGCTCTAGCTCCACGGTTACCGTGATTTGGATAAGCGGCGAGCACACAGAACAGCAAATGGTCAGTAACTGCCTGATAA